GTGCCCTTGGAGTGAAGCACTCGCGGGAATGCGCCGGCAACGTGCAACGGTCCGGTCGGGTTCTGGCCGTAACCGATATTGTAGAAAAACCACCGCCACCATGTTCAAGGTTTCTCTTGATTTGAAGTCAAAGAGAGTCACTGAACCGAATCGATTATAATATATTGTGAATGCAAATATGAAGAAAAAAAGAATACATCCCAAAAATACACATATAGTAGACGTAATAGTCAAGATAAGCGACAGTTATACGCGATGACTACTACTGAATATTGTGCGGATAAGTACACTAACGATTCAAGCATCTCGTCTAACCCCGGAGACCGGAAGAAAAGCGTTTCGTAATGTTTTACAGCATTACATATTATATACTATGATATTGTAACCAAAAACTAGGACAAGACGTAAAAACAGTATGAAGCTTATTGGCGTGGAAACAATTCCTTTCGAAAAAAAATACATTTCGCTTATTATGAGTGTGCTCTGGTTTTTCTATGTAGATAGTAACGTTGATCTAAAATCAGTAAAATTTATAATCAACATTTTATTACGTTAAAAAATAATATAAAGACATTACCTATCACTTGTAACACAATTTTTTTTTTACTTCGGCTTCCTAAGGTGTTTCTTAATAAAATTAAGAAATTCTATTTGAAAACTATATGTTAATCTATTTGTAAAATATGTATATGTATTTTATATTTCTCGAGCTAGAATTTTAAATTTAAAAAAAAAAAATTTATGGTTTCGTTTTTTGTTATGTATTTATATGTATAAATGAAAAATAATCATTTTTGAGTTAACAGAAGATAAGTACCCTATTCCAACGCGCACGCTTACGCGACCGTAGAATCGATGTGCACGGGTGTATTATTTAAAATTCCAACAGGCCACAAGTAATGTGTGTACAGTATATTATACAATCTATTTATCTATATTTTACTATTAATCAGACAATCCGATACGTCATCCTTTATATCATTTTCGATGTCGGCGGCACATTTCTCCGAGACAACGAATTTAGAACGTTCTAATAAGCTTATCATACGTATTACGCATCGGAGGACGCGCGTATTCGCGGTGAACGTGCGAATACAGAATGCGTGTCCGTTCACAAAATTAGTCTCGTTCCGTAACCCAAATTAGAAAACACGATATTATTTACCTATATAGTTTGACAAAACACTATTAAAAAAGCCAAAACGAAACGATCGCCGATCCGTCCTCAATATATATAGTTTATACACAACTGCACTGAGTTATATAAAGCAACTGATGACGTTAACCTGGGGGTGGTGAATGACGAAAAATATAAGCGGCACGCGGAATAAAATAAAAAGATTCAACGAAATATGATCGAAAAACATAAGAATTGCACTTTGAAGTATGTGTACACACGCAAGCGCGCAATTACTCTAAAAAATTAACAAATACGTATATTATTATTTATGAGCCAATATTGCAAAGTGCAGTGCGCGCGACGACAAACACATCGCAAAACGGCGGAGAAAAAAGGGCGATGGACATGCACAGTGAACACATTTTCAAGCGTTATTTACAATATTATAATATTGTGTTAAACATAGAATATATTTTATTATTATAAAATATAATAAATACATTATTTTTTTTTATTTTTTTACTCTATACCGAGTCGGCACAGGTCAATTACACCCGGCCTGCAATGCACACGTATACAACAACAATTTTCCCGTCAAGGTTACCAACATTTCGACACCTCCCCCGCACCACCGACCAAGCCGGTCACCAACGGGTGATAGCCGTCTCAACAACAGTGATCGCGTACCGCGCGGCCGTCAGTCGGTTTTGTGTTACTACCGCGCGGCGGCGTCGGGCCAGGCGGGCGGGATACGGTGCGGGGTAGCGACGGCGCGAACACACACGCGCGCGCGGAACGTCTTCGCCCGGGTCTATGGGTCTTTGTACGATGAACCAGTTTTTCCCCCTGTACAGAACTCCGGCGTCAGCGCCTCCTGTACACACTCACGTATACATTCGAGTACATGTGTGTACAATAATAATATTATTCTCAGCAGGTAAGCATACACACACGAACGCGTGACCAAATATATATATGCCTGGATAAATAAGCACCATGAAATACACTTAAACACACACATACACGAACCCAGAGGAGAATGGTGTGTTATACAGACGGACCCTTTTTATAGTGATTTTTTGGAATGCATCCCCAGACAATAACGGATACGATAAATGTATAGGAAGGTACAGGTACCCGCATGCAGTACTGCGCAGTGGCCTTCTGCTGCGCGAGGCACCGACGAAACAATATTATACACGTCAAGCAGAACACTGTAAACTGCAGATACTAGAGAGCTATCACAGCTAATGGAGTATTAGACAGTCGTCGATAAAGAAAAAAATACAATAGAAAAAGCAATTTTCCTGTTCCTACTCGCGAATAGAAGAGAAAGTGTAGTGGCTTCTTTTTATCCATTATTGCAGTCGTTGTCATCATTGTCATTAAAGTTAAAATCATTGGAAAACCCCTGTATAAGAAAATTCCGGGAAAATCAGTTAGCGCCACCGGACTTTTCTTCAATACGCCGTATCGATTACCACACATCAAATGATAAATGTACATAACACCACTTACTATTTTATATATGCATACATGTATTATTTAAGTCTACGTCAATATGAAATGTGCACGAAAACAATTACCAACTTAAGACACATTCAAGTTTTACTTGTTGATAAAAATGTTCATTCAAAAAATATTTATTTATTATTATTAATATTTAAATTAATCTCGCAAACACAGAAAATTATACTTCGAATAAACAATAAATATCACTATTAACTTTTTTATTAAAATAAAAAAGCATAATACGTCAAAATGTGCAAAATAGTTACAAAAATTTTAAGCTATACCAGTACTATACCTACTATAAATCATATGGTATACTATGATATAAAATATAAAGAGATTAATTTTCAAGAATAAAAAAAATCATAATGAATTTTAAAATAACAATAATAAAGTTATCAAACATGTTTTTTAACTATGAATTATGGTTTATTTCACTTAAAACAAATAATAATAATAATATAAAAGCCATATATTGAAATAATAGCAAGGTAAGGAGATTATAAACGCTAATACAGAGAAAAGAAAATAATATTCAAAACAAATTTAATTTGATAAAAATATTTTAGATGTTTGAATGAATTTTTTAAAGCAAAACGTAAATATATTTAAATCTATTTACTTAATAAAAAGAAGTAATAATTGAGTTTCGATTTATTTAAAAAAAAAAAACAAATTTGAATTTGAATAAATTGAGTTAGACGATAAAATATTTTTTTAAGCCAGTACCTATCTATTATAAATACTTACATAAAAAATGTGTACTTTTAAAAAAATAATCTAACTTAGACCAAGTATTTTACACGTTCAAACAAGATAACTAAAACCTAAGCACAATATAATGTTATATCTCCCCTCTCTCTTTATAAACAACTTTAGTATTATTGATTGGAGCAGATGATTATGGGAAAATAGATTTACACAAACGAGGGCTGTTACTGTATTACTCGAATAAAGCCCGCATTCAATATTGAGTACTGAGTATTGTATTATACACGCGTATCCTGCAGCCAACTCAACTGGTTTTAACTCAAAAAAGTAACCGTCAACAAAATAAAAAAAAAAAATTGAAAAGGGGAAAACGTGTACTTGCATGAAGGGCGACCGATGGGAAAACACAAAGAGTTGAACGACCTTCACCCTCACATTTTCAAACGGTCTACTGATTACTATTGCTGCTTTTTTTCGCAGGATGTAACGTAAACGCAGAGATTTTTCCAAACATCACACATAAACGTCAAGAGCCGCCAAGGGGGGTGTAGCTTAGCAAACGTTTACGAATTATTCTACCGTTTATAAACAACTTATTATTCTGAAATTTTAATGTAATAATATCAATATAACAATATTTATTCTCCTTAGACCAAATGTATAACTATATGATTTAAATAAATATTTTTTTTAATTTAAAAGCGTCTGGATTTAAATCTAAAAATAGTACGACAATAGCTGATGTAAAAAATTGTTACCACAGTTAACATAAAGATGTATTATTTAACTTTCTAAATAAACAGGCGGATTTTTTTTGCGATTATTACCATGTATCTTATTTGTATTCATAATTCAATAAAATATAAAAGGGTGCAGTCCTCTTTGCCATCATATTAGTTTACAACAAAAATTGAAGGAAAATCAGACGCCAGAGATCGTCAATTGTATGTTAAAAATATTGTGCCATCCTCATACATATACATTATTCACTACCTATATAATCATTTGTCGTTCTTAGTATCATCATACACACAACAATAATCTCAGAGGTTTATGCATTCGAATGAAACTATAAACACCGTATACGTGCTGTCTACAGTTACAAACACACACAATAGTACCTAGAGACAAAACAAGATTTCAATGTATTTTGAAAATACAACAAAAAAATAATACAATGTACCTTGTTATTATACATATAAATCATACGAATTATTACACACATGCGCGTGTACCTATGTGCACCTACAACAAATTTCTCCAAGTACTCTTATATTTTAAAACTTATAAACAATATATATTTTATCCAAATAGTGAATATGAATGTGTACGGTTACGTTAAACAACCGCCCAGTCTAGGGCGAATAAACCCGCTATTACTAAAGACCTATGAGAAACAAAGAAGAGACAGGAAATACTGGTTTATAATGGCGAGGTAGGTAACATTGTTATAAACCGAGTGACTAATGCGTATTAGCTCGATAGGAATGCACGGTCCTATGCCACTACAATTTAATGTCATCGAATTATCCATCACTTCATCGCGCGCGCGCACACACCGTGATGGTTATTACGGAAAATATAACACATTTTTCCGGATTGTCTATACATGGCGAGGTACTACCTGTGGTCGATTATAACATAATAAAAAGGATACATTTCTTGAAAGAAATCCAAATGAGGCGGTTGCAGAATGTCAAGGGCGGACAATACCTATATAAGAGTAAAAAAAAAAATCATAGTATTTTTAACATTAACTAATAGTTTTTAAAAAACTTACATTTTCGTGTTTAAAATTGCATAACATTTTTAACTCTCTAAAAACTCGTTTCGAGGAAACTAGAGATTGAAAAACATTTGGAAGCTTTTTCAACGCGACTCTTCGTCCGTCTCGTGGATCTGTAACAGCCCTGTAAATACAATTAAAACGATGTTATTATGATATATTAAACTTAGGTAAAGGTAAATTTTAATTTCTTAAATAACGTTAAGAACATCGTTCCTATATATATATAAGTATAATAAAGATTACAATAATTATGCTGATTAAATACAATTTTCATTGAATTTATATGGCCTTGTTAAAAGTTGACTAATATTCTATTCTTACAATATGATTATGAATAAGGAATTATGTTTGGCAAAGACGCAAAAGTCTACGGAAACAGTACTGAATAGAAAAAACACTTTTGGCGCATATGAATCGGTTTCCCCCTTAGGTCAGGGTCGATTTTCAATCATCTATCGCATCGATTTGACGTCTATAAGCTTATCAAACATGATGATGATAATCAACTTTACATGTAATATGAAAGAATATTATTTTCGAATAATATGTACGATAAAAATATAACATATTAAAAACAAATATTAGAAAAATTTACAGATAAAAAGATAAATTGTTTATAGTAATTACATTTAAATACGGCATACTTTAAAATACACCTGGATTCTGGAGACCGGTTTAAAAAAACATTTGGTTTACTTTTGTAATTATTTTGAAGTAAAACACCATACGGGAAGATTATAAAATATTGCATGAAAACTAACAAAACAAAATATTATAAGCCATCTGTCAAAGAATAATATATTATACACATACCTATATATATTAAAAACAAGAGAGAAGGGCATTATTCGTCATTCAAAAATTCGGACAACTGCAAAATGATGAATGCAATAAAATTGATCGTGTTGTGATTATATTTTCCCTTCCATTCACGTATATGTATAAGCATCATGAATCTACATATACTCGTATTTTTTTAACTACAGTACAACTTTTTTAATAACATTTTTCACAGTTATTTGATTATTATTATGTATGAGAGATATTTGACTGTTAATGCTACTGCTTCAGTTCACAGTTGATGGGAAAAAGAAAGCGTAGAGACCGTGTAGAGGTTTCATTGTTATGCTTTCGTTTCATATCAAAACACCAAGTGGAACAATAACCATGTTACATCTCGATTGAAGACGACAACGCGTTTTCCGACCAAATATCGTTTACTGGCAATCATCGTGTCGACCTATCCTATATTTTACACTATATAGAACCGTGTTCCTAAAGTATATTTTTTTTTTGTACACAATTCTAATTACTTAAGTACCTACAATCTACATAGGTAACATTATATGCTATTTGAACTCCGCATTATTACATAAACTAAACCGCCGCTATAATATTTATCGTTAATAATTTATATCATTTGGTTTTTTTCTATTTATTATTATTATTATTATTTTTTTTTTTGGTCAGTACTGCCGTATATGTTCGTGTATTATATACTGTAAGTTTCAAGGACATATTCATTTAATAACTTCTATACGAGCGCTACCAGGCACATACCACAGTTTTCAGACCGTACATATTATTTGATCCGATAAAGATGTGTATCTCCTACTACTCTCACTGCGGTTCCTTCATAATTGTCTCTCCCCACAAACACAACCATATAAACGAGTAAATATATAATTATTATTAATTATTTATATACTGATAATAATTCAACTCCTGTATCAAAACGCCTCGATAACTGTTATTTTTATTTTTATATTTTTTTTATTTAGTCGCAGCGGACTACAAGATTAGGTACACAACTTTTGCGTAAGCGACACCTGTGCCAGAGGAGTTCGAATACTGCCGGCTAAGATCTAGCAGGTGTCTGACACACAATAGCAGCTTGCAATCTTGTATACAGCAGCCGACCACCAGCAGCATCGGTTAGATATTTTCAACCACAAATAAGCATACATACACATACACATTTATGTATATATTATATATATGAACATAATAATAATACACGGCTTCCCCGTTGTACACGCTGCAGAGCATACACGAAATTAAACAATAAAAATAACACATGTGCATCACAAGAACATAATAATAAAATATAGCTAATAATAATAAAAAAATTGTTAAGTGCTGCGTCGTCGCGCGTCACAAGAGTTCTCGTTCATTCACGTACTAATAATCGTCCTTTATTAGCTGAATAGGTTTTTCAACCAGAGTTTGTATAACGAGAGCGAGCAATAAATTCTGGTTGGTACCTAATATGTACCATAAGATACGATCATAAGACGCTTGAGGTATGAGTAGAGGGAAGAGGTCAAAACTGTTTATTTGAAATACGCGTCTGGTCACATGACGGTTTTCTTCGTGGGAAATTAGTGTTATGCCGTGTACAACGGTATACGCATGCGCATATACTGCAGAAGAGTACCGCGGTCGAATTCCCTAGTGGGTTGTCTTTCTCTCCTCGGGTTTTTGTTTATTATGTATACACATAACTATATACTATACAGTTAGGTTATTATTATTATTATTTTTTTTTACATAACAGTAATAATCATTAAAAATACCCTGTGAACAACGTCCCTTCTACACACAAACGCACATTCTATATTATATGCACGCCATTCTAACATAGAAAATTGTTAGGTACAATTGACTTCTAAACGACGGTGTATATGCAGCACACTGAGGCCTATATGGTATGCGAACCGCGTAAATATCGATTCATTTAAAGTAGCAGCAGCGACGGCCGACTCAGTTGTTGTACCCGTCGACCGCCCCACTACACATTATATGCATATACACTATACAGCACACAAACTACTCGAACGGATCACTAAATTAAATATGGTTTGATCAACTTAACAGCGCAATTGTACTATATATAAATATAAATAGTATATGTATATAAAACGATGTGCGTATACTTGTGTACACGCAGTGGTACGATAATGTTAACATTGACCCACGACAATATTATATTGTGTGTAATCTATAAACTGATAAAAGATGTTCGTGCACAAAGGTCTGTTTGTTCGAAATTCGAATTTTTTTGTTTTGAAAAAAATACGTATAATATACTTTGTGGTCCGTACTAAGTTATTTTACACGACGCGATGTGTGTATCAGCTTGATGAGCAAAAATATTACTAAAAAATTTCGAATTTTCAATATTTTCAATCGTCCTGCTATTCGGAAATCCAACTGTGTCAATCAAAGTTCAGTATTAAAACACTTTTGTTTATTCAACACTAAGACTTTTGCACTGAATTATATATACAGTATTATTGTATTCTAAATAATAACTGTACTATAGTCAAACACATTATTTAAGAATATTCATAACATATATCATTATATCAGTTATTTTATAGTGATCAACATTCAACACACATCAGTAGAGAGAGAAAGAGATATTTAATAATAACTAATATTCTGTCATTAAGGAGTATTATATAATATGCTAACCAATAATAATAAATAGTCTAAAATTGAAAACATTATAGTAGTTAAAAAATATTGTTTATCGATTCAACAACGTCATGGCGGTGTTATTTGTTGATTTTCATTAGGTTTCATCACTTGTATTCAATAAATTTTTAGAAAGTACCTACTTACCTAAACACGAAAACAAAGCATAGTGGAAAAACTATGGTAATCCACATCAATACATATAACAATGTTTTGTCATGAATCATATACTATTTTAATAAAATTAAAATTTTAAATGTACCCATATTAGAAGATGATATATAATAATGTAAGATAAAGACTATTATCATGCTCAATAATACATATTAAGTTAAATAATATATGATATAACAGAAAGTTTTTCTAATATTATAATGAGATTAATTTATTATATTTTCAATAAGTATTAAATAAATGTGGATAACAGGAATTATAACATTTACATTTAAATGTGGGTAGATACAGTCGAAGCGTAACGTCTATATAGGGCGGCTCCAGTCTGAATAGGTTTTGGTTCGTTGATTATACATTTATACATTTATACCGATACAAAAACCAGGGCAACCTTAAAAGTTACGACAGAGGCCTCACTGGTAGGTGACTTAGTCTAATATGTACAGATTAAATATAAGTGTATATTATATGTAAAAGCAAATATAGTAATACAAACCATTATGCAATAATAAACTATAATGGCACTTGCTAGTAATAATTATTACAATAAAACAATATCGTATAAATAGTCTCTTTCTTATGTGTCTTACTTCTACGAGAACAAAAGAAATATTAAACATAGGACCAACAGCAAATATTTAATTGGAGAATAAACAATGAATGAGTACCATTTTAGAAGTCCGCCACAAAAACGTTGTAGAGTGATTATAAAATAATAAAATATCAAAAAAATAAGCTACTGACAAAGCCACAAAAGAAAATAGATTTATCGTACAAAGCCAATTAAAAAATACTTGACATTGGCATTAATATAATGTACAAAATATTATATATGCACAAACGAAAAGATTTTTGAACATCTTAACTTATACGCGTGTTATTTATTTTCAGTATACAAAGAAGGCATATGCACAGTGCACATTACGTAATGCCACATAATATAAGGTATAGGTAGAATAGTAGTATAATTGTGGAACTTTATCCCGAAGCAGCTGAGAGTAGGTATACCTGCTTAAAAGGGTCCAGACGTATCCAATAACTGTTTGGTATTTTTCCGTCGTGCACAGATGTTAAGGCTGCATAGCTATAGGCTACGACACCTGCAACTCTACAAGCATACAACAGGCAGCCCTTATGGTCCTTCCAAATCGGTTTTCAAATAACCAAAGACCACGACAAAAAAAACAGGTTTGATCCCTCAAACAGACAATATATGACAACATCTGGCTTCCCAGTTCACCTTGAAATTTTACAATTTTCAACTCGAATTCGAACAACGTACCAACATTTTTTCCGGTTAATTCTATATTTTGTATAGAAATGTAACAACAAAGAATATTATAAAAAATATGGTACCTACTCGTATACTAAAATAGGCAAACTTTCTTTTGTAAATTCTAAATTATCATAATCATAGAAAACGTTTTATACATTAACAACTAAATTAGTTGGTCTATTAAAACAACATAATGGGAAACCTACTTATTATCAATACTTCATTGAAGATTTCTGGGAATGCGTTAGTAGGATTGTACTTTTTCGGCACATTCTCACACACAAATATTAACAATTTTTATCTGTTATATACCTTTGTATTTTTACCAAAAAATACACCAATATTGATAGTAATAATCATGAAATAAGAATAAATTAATATAAATAATATTATTAAATATTGAAACCAAATACAGAATTCTAATTCCCTACCTATTATTAACAGTATAATATGTATCAAAATTAATTGTTAAATATGAATTAAGAATTAATGTGGATCTCAAATGGATTAAGTAATTACAATTTTTAAGTAATCAATGAACAATGATAAGAGAATATTTATTTTTTAAATATTAATTCGAAGAAAATTTAAATGATAAAACATTAAATTCCTTGAAATACGTGTGCATAGTTTTGAAAGAATATTTTGTTTTATAAATCAATTGTTTAGTTGATCTTTTTAAATACCAGATAGTGTTAAAATTAAGTAACCTTCAACTATATCATGGTCAGTTATTTTATAAATCATACATGATTTGGAAATAATATTGTTATAAAAAAGTTCTAAAGCTAAAGAAAAACATAGAAAAATAATTTTAATATTATTCAGCAATAAAGAGTGTAGGTTCATATTCTTAATTTTTTTTTTTTTGGACAAAAAACTATTAAAATTACATTAGGAACATTCATATTATGTTATCAAAAATTCTTGACCCTTTTATATTATTAATAATATAGAATAGATAAGAAACATGAAATACTAGTATTGTCATATCAATAATTTGTGTTAACATTATAATTTTATTTTTACATGTATATAATTATCTTGAATTCAAATTTGTCCATACATTTATATTGGAAATTAAATTAAGCATACTTATTTAAAAATAATAAAATGATTTTATTATTTCTTTACTATATGTAATTTTTAAAGTAAATACAAATAAAAACTAAAATATGATCAAGTATTTGCTCCTCGTAACATTCCTCACCATTGACCTAATTTTAAGAACATAAAACAGAAGCCTCCCGATTACAGATTTTCCTTGAATCAATTTTATTATTTTTCTGATGTTATATAACATATTTATTATCCAAATTAAAATATATTATCTATTAAAAATAGATATGTCTTCATAATATAATAGAATAAGCAACTATAGTTAAATTTTAAATAAATTATAATTACTCACATGGGTAATATATCAAGATTTTTAAGTTTGTGTCTAATTTATTAGTAATATCTTTATACAACAGCCTTTTACATAAAAAAAATAACAACTACATTTTTTTATACTCAGTCAATTTAATATAAGTATATAGAAATAAAAATAATATACTTTTGTCCTTTTACTAAACTTTTTAAAATAATTTTAAGTAAAGGATTGTTAATTAAAAATTAGAAAACACTTTTCTTAAAAAATCTCGATTATAGACTAATAAATTCTTATGTATACTTAACACAGTAATTGGATTTATGAGACCATCAACAAACAAAATTCATATTAAAGTAAATAAAGTCTTCTATTTAAATTAATATTTTAAATGAGTAATACATAATAAACCCGATAATAAGTTTTTACATTAATCATAAAACTTATAACTGAGTTTTACCTGTAATTTTTATCTTCGCATTTTGACAAATGGAGTTAGAAATTATGAGTAAGATTTTTATGTAACTTTAAATTTATTGATTAATATTGAAAACTAAATAGCAAATATATAATATTTGTAGATATTAAAAAACAAACTTAATGCAGTATCAACATGATAAACAATATTTAAATGTTTCATATTAAAAATGTTTTTATAATAGGTTTTTTTAAATTCATAAAACAAAAAAATAATAAGAATATTATAAAATTAATTTTTAGATGAATAAATTAAAGAAGTATATATTAATTTATTATAATTAAACAATTTAAGATAATAAAGAGTTTAAACAATTAAATAACAATTAACATATTATAATAATAGTAGTTAGTAGGTACCACTACCAACCTACCTAAAGTCATTTTTCAAAATTAATATTCAAAGGTATCAATTGTAATTAAAAAAAAAAGATTACGACGGTGTTTATCATTTATTGATATTTACAGTAATAGTTGCGATAACACAACAATTATTAACTAATATCTGAGTTTTTAGTTTTTACTGGCCCTCGAAATTTTTTTTTTGATTTTCTGGACCTCCATAGAATTTAATTGCTGACCCCTGGACTAGGACTATACTGATTTCACCTATAGTTATAACTGTTATAAGCATATAGCGTACATATACCTAAATTTCATACATATTATGTAATTTGTACATATTTGTATACATTTAAAATAATTCTCAAGAAATAAATGTATTCTTAACATAATGTTATGGAATAATAATTAGGTACCTTCCTTAGTTTAATTTTATTGTGTTCATTCACTTGTTATAAAAATTTAAGAATATACATAAGTATAAGATAATAATAAATCTTATACCTAACCGAGTTTATCTTTTCATAACAATAAAATTAAGTGATTATTTTAACAATAATTTTTATTGTAAAGATATTAATGTAAGAATCAAGAATTATGTCAATACTGATCACTCTACTTATAGGCTGTATTAGATATTATTTGCTAACTTAAATTATTAAAATATTAAATGTAATTTCAATTTATCCTCATACTGAGTAATATACAACCTTAATATAATATATGATATTATATCCTACAGTAATTTATTGTTTAGCTATTTTAACATAAATGTATTGAGACACAGTTTTAATTAATCAATTTTATAACAAAATTAGTGTTTATTTTTTTTATAAGGAAAATATATTGTACTGATCTTCAAATGATTTAATCAGTGTTATTATAAAAGTAATATACTAAAAATCTAATAATGTTAACAATGTGATTACAATATCACTTATCAGTTAATACTAAAATAATAGTTAAGCCAACAGATCTCATGCACATATACGACAATATCAGTATAATATTAAACTTGAAGTACCTATAAGGATCATACCTATTATTTGTGTATCTATACATATGGATATAATATAAGCACTTTAAAGACAGTACCTTGATATTTTAGGTTTATCATAGTGAATTAGGTATCAAAATATAAGACATTAGGTACGTCTATTGAATTAAACGAAGTACCATCTTGAATAGTTCATAAAATATATTTGTTAAGCATAACGGCAACTTAAATATATACTGGACAATTGAGTAGAACAAATTATGCCATTTATCTCAGTAGAATAATGTGAAGGGATGTGCCAAAATAACAGAATAAATGGCTGACGAGTAGGTAGCGTTTTGAAGCAGGAGTATACCAGAAGAAATCTATAAGTGGATAGTTTCAATAAGTGTAATAGGTATATTTAAAACATTTACTTAATGATATTTTGTAACACAATAAAGTGGTATGTTGAAAGCTGGATGTGTTTGGTGAGCAAACACATTGCACTAGGTAGAAGTGTTACGATCGTGTTCCAAAAAAAAGACATAACTGATGGTAAACTTACCAGACGACTCCAAAGGCGCCATATCCAATCGGTCTGTCGGGCTTATAGTCCACCGGATGTGCGGTGGCCGATTGCGCGGCATGGTGAGACTGCTGCTGAGCGTGGAAAAACTGTTGCGAGGCACTGGCCTGCTGGTGGTTGCCCACTGGACCGTTCGTTGAGCCCTGCATCAGCGACATTGACACCCTGGAGTGTCGGCTCGGGCCGACCACAGCCATAACAGTACGTCAGTGACGGTTAGTCCACGAATTCCGGCGCACGGCGGGTTTCGTTCTCATTTACGGTGCGTGATAATCGACGACGACGACGACCAGTGAGCTCGCGGATCCACCGACACGGTTAGCAACGTAGATCCCGTAAAATATTGTGTTGTAGTACACTCGTCAACGTACACGTTTTAAATTATTTATGATTAATTATCTCGGAATCGAAGGAAAATTATTGTTTTGTCTAGGCAGTGGGACACTTACGCGCGTGATAAGGACCAGCGGCTGGTAAGACAAAAGACGATAATAATAATAATAATAAAAACAACAACAACGTAGAGTAAGATAAAAAACGACGTACGATTATACAAAAACACAAGAGAATGGGACAATATTATTGCAACCGTATTCGAACGCGTGCCGTCCGGGAGCCACCACACGAATACGAGACGAACAACCGTTTGCCAAGTCGTTCGACCGACACTGAATCAGATTATCAGCATTCAGAATGACTACTACTGATTGAGAAAAGGGAGAATCGGGCGCGCGCGCACGCACTCACTATGACGGCTATACAGCCGCTGCCTGGCGCTCACGCACGCACTACACCGAGCAGCTGCGGGTCAATGGAAGTGATAAATGGTTACAGTGCTGCCGGATGCCCCATCCGAGTGGAATAAGGTCTACGGTAAGAATGGGTTATTATTGTCCTCGCCTGGCAAATCAACGTCTGGTTCGCCGCTCACAACACGTTATTAGATGATTATTATTATTATTATATTTTAGTATTTTACGAACAGATAATAGAGGATACGGATACCCTGAATGACTTCACTAACTACTATAGTATAGCTGCAGCAGTGGCGTCGAGAGACTGCAAGAGGGCTGTACTAAGCTCTAGGACAATAAATCGTCTCATAACTAAAATGTGGCGGTGGTTAGGTACCCAAGTGGGCACTGAGAAAGTGTCGAATACTTTAGAATTTTAGATACTTGAGTATTTTGTATTTATATACAATATAATATATTGTATACTATAAATTATAATTATCTATACTAAATTATAAAAATACTAGTATTTATAATCAATGGTATCACTTAGTAAAAGGATTGCGCTGCGATCGCATTAATTGCTATTTTGTAACTTAAACCGCGTGTAATATAATACACTAGGAAATAGGAATTATTCATGTTTTTACGTTCTTTAATATACATATATGCAATATTTTTATTTTTTAATCAAGCATTATAAATTGAATAGCTAGTAAAATTATAAATTCATGTATACGCACATACAGAAATATACTTCATAAACATTTTATAATTAAATATTGTGTAAATAATGAATTAAACAATCCTGAATTTGTGATCACTGTGTCTATAATATCAATGTCTAAGGGCATTAGGTAGTAATTTTTTTTTTTTTGTAATGTAATCAATTATAAAATTTACGGATAGCTAGAAAAAATATAAAAAACTTTAATATTATATGAAAAAATTAAAATTAAAAGATTAGTAAGTGGACACTACGATCTATTGTACATCTGAACATTAAATGTCGAGCAACTCACTATTATGGAAGTGTTAAATTCGAATTATTGAATTTACAATATGATTTATTTATAATTTATGATTTATCACTGTATACGAAAAGTGATTCTAAGCGGAAATGATCTATCAGCTTATATCATCTAGTGATAATGTTTTTTTTTTTTTTTATAATATTATTTATTATATTAAAATTTAAAATCATTCATTTTAGTTTTAGTATTATGGTAGGTTCATTATAAATTATAATGTTTCTGAAAATATTGCGTTATTAGTATTTAATTATTATTATTAAATGTATTTATACCATATTATCTCAATTTGTAAATAAAACCCAAAGTTTAATAACATCTTTCTGTAAATTTCGCAAAACAGCGTAAAAATAAATTAATAGAACATATAAATAGATATCTTGAAATAAATAAAAATAAGTAGGTATAATAAAATTATTCATAATAATATAATAACACCTATATATAATTCCGTTTTTCTGATTATAAATAAATTATTGTGAAATTTTATTTTAACCTTTCTAAAGTATACCTACAAATTAGATTTTGTCTAAAACTACCCCCAAAGCTGAAACATACATAAAACCCCCCACATTATTGTAAAATCAATACATTTATCGTTTGACTCAGAATCTAAAATAAAATTGGTCCAGGAGCCCTTACAGCCGACAGCCCTAGGGTAAATAATAAATGAATTTTAAAAAGTAAAAATAATAACTAAACAATATTTTGTAATAGAAACTAAGAATATAGTCTGTATTAATATTTAATATAAATAATAAACATATTAAATGGAAAAAAAGGTGCAGGAGATAAAAAAAAACAGGGGCTAGCTCTCAATTAGGCGAGGCCGAGATTAGGTTATAAAACAACACACAGTGAAACTGTTTTTACACAATGAAATCAATGAAATATAGTCATTTTTTGTTCGTTATAATTTTCTATTAGATAGTTTAATAATAATTTATTGTTGTCGTTCTATTGATTTATTAATATGGAAACTATTTAATTATGAATACTTTGTAATTTAATAAAAATTTCTGGTTAAATATATAAACATGTTTGAATGATTATGATTTATGATGAAAATTTGCGTTAAAATAGGCATAAAATGATTCACTAAAATTTATCGATTTTGTCAACTTGAAAAAACTTTTGCCCAGCCTTAGAAGGAAAAATTGCTTGTTCATAAATTATAACTAATATACGTATTTTTTTAGTAAAAGTAAAATGTATCTAGATTGTCAACGTTTGGTTTAGTGTTGTAAAAGTCAATACTAAAACAGTAATGTAGGTAGCAATTTCATATTTTCTGATTCATTTTTAAATTCGGTTACAAGTCCAAGTCTCTGAATTACGCACTACCATGCCAGTAATAAAGACAACCATATCTAATTTAATTTCGAGCCTATATGTATTATACAATATATAAGCATTACTGATTTTTTTTTTTTTAAATTCGTAATAATTTTATTTAGTTAGGTATAATAAATTAAATTCAATACTAATTTCATTACATATAGTTAATTTATTGTTTAAAAACATTTTTGATTAGTTATTATCTTTTAACAAATAAAAAAAGAAAATATATTACGTAATAATATGATTACTGATTAGTTACTAGTTATACTAGTTACCATGATAATAAATCGAAAAGACAACAGTTAAAAAGTTATCAAAAGAGTATGACGATTAAATAAAAGTGTAAGTACCTATGTATTTTATAAATTATAAATTATGAATAAATAAATATAAATTATCTCTATTATTTCTTTTAAAGTATTTAAAATAAATATAATACAGTAAAAAAATGTATTTAGTAAAATTTACAAAATTTTAAGAGAATATATCTATAAATTTACCTGATTTACCCGTAAAATCAATAAATACATTTATCGCTACATTAAAAACCTAAACCTAATATAATTAAAGAAGTATAAAATTGTATAAATACTATAAATGTATACAAAATTAAAGAACTATATTATAAATTAATTTTCTGTTTTATTTATTTTTAACAAAAATAATAACAATATATAGTGTATTATATAACTTATATAGAAGCTCTAGTGACTAGTATAGAACAAGGTAGTTCAGGTCTGTGTATCATCTATTACTTTAAAATTTTCTAACTTAACACATAATTTACACCTTCGCATATACTAAATAAAATTAATACTTAAGATATAAATATGGGTAGAAAATGACTGCGAACGTTTGTCCTTTTTGGCAACACGATTGCATATAAATTTTACCATACACCTAATAAATATTTAGTAAAATATGTACACTTCTATAACAATTAACAATCAATATGAAATAATGAAATATAGGTACCTACCGACTACCAAATGAAAATAACTAAATAATTGTAAAATAATTAATACATAAATAAAATTATCAATAAATATTAATAACGCTTAATACTTCGTACACGATCGTATACTTAGTTAAAAATCAGGTAAAATCGTATGCAATCATGTAGCTTAAAAATGTATCAGCGATAACGAACGTACGCAATCGTGTTTTACCCCATCTCAAATTTCTTATTTAAATTTAACTTCAATTTATTATAATGCTACTTAAAATTGTTAATTGGTATATGTATTTTAAAAAATTATCTAAAATATTGGCTATTAGTAAATTGGAAAACCAAAACCTGGTTGTTACTTGTTGCAGCAATTTTATTGTGTTGGTGGCCTTTGCTATATTAATAAATAATAATTATATAGAAACAAATATAACAGCGTATGCCCGTATAATGTTTTACTTATTCAGCATTTCCATTACCTACTATGTTAATTGGAATTGTTATTTAATTCAATTTATAGGACGCGTGACATATTATTATTTATTTTATTTTTAAGTATTGTTCCGTGTTCAACGTTAATTTTATGTACCGTGAGCATAAACCTGGATATCATTATATAAAATTAAATAATTGAAAATGTTTAGAGTTTTTAATATAAAATGTAAGCAATAAAGTACAGGTAAATAAAAATGATGACAAAGATCAAGGTAGTTTTTTCATCTAAGCAGAACAAATTTAATTACACTTTTCATCTGTAGCCTTAATAAATAAACTAGGTATCTATAAATAAGATTACCAGTGATATGATGATTTAAAAGACCTAAATTAAGGTTCTATTCAACATATAATAAGTAGGTTAATATTAATTCACTTTATTTGTTTATTTGATATTTATAGTATTTTATTTAATATTTTATTCAATTTTGGTAATATTTTTCATTGGATACTTGGATTTCTAAATTGTTATTTACTATAAGAACAAATTAATGAAAAATTGATTTTGCTTGAAATTTAGTTTCAAGCAAAGTTTCAAGTTTAAAGAACAGCGAATCTTATTATTCTTATAACAAAATATATGAATGAGTAGGTTAGAGAACAACATTTCTATAGATGCAATATTATATTTTACATTAAATATCGTATTTTTGAAACGGATTCAGTTGAATTTTCATTCGAATCATCAGGTTTTAGGATTTGGAAAAAGCAAGTATTTTTTGAATTATATATTAGAAATTATACTCTAATAAACTAACAAAGATAACAGTTACTAGAAATGTCTTAAATAAAATCAGTAATGATTTGATTTATTAAAGATTTAAAAATTCTATTAAAAAAGAAATATTTTCCATTTTATAAAAATGTTACAAGTAGCCTAAGAAGTATTTTATTTTACTGTGAACTTTGCAGCATTTAAGCAAAATTTTTTAGCTGTACGGAAAATCAAGATATTTATTAGAACATCTATGCTTTAAGACCGTTTTAATAATCTATTTATTCCTTGCATAGAAAAATATTTGACAAAAAATATCGGTAGTGAAGATATTTAAAAATAAAAATTCAAAATCTCAAGGATAACGATTAACCAATGATCAACAAACATATAAGTTCATATATAGCTCTCATTAATATGTCTATTTTTATATATTCAATGTTAAAAATTGTATTAGTTCTGTAATAAAAAAAGTTACTTAGGTAATAACATAAAATAATACAATTTACAATTAATCAATCAGTTTATACTGAATTTTTTAGGATGAATGTTACAATGATGAATTTATATTTAAGTATATTTTGTAAATATATTATATACCTAATAATCAATTGAAATACAAAATAGAACTATTAAATACCACAACCTTAAAAAATAAAAATAAATTCTCATTTATAAAAAATGTATACCTAGATAGTTAATTATAATTGTTAGAAGTTTTTAAGTTAAGTTTTTATAAGAATCAAGGACAAAGCCTTCCCTCAATGACAAGATTTATGTAAAAAAAAATAGTAGCCCTCCTCAATATTTTTAATGAATTTTCGCTTATGGTACTGTATAATTAAACAATTTAATAAAACATTAAAACCTATTATTTTTTATGCTGATGCATGCCATATTGTTTTGTATTTAATACTATATACATAGTCATATGATATAAACTACATTACTTATAACAGTTATAAAAAAAAATTAATTTTCTTTAAAGTGATGATGATACAGATTTAACGAGAACCGAAAATATTGTTTTTCAAGTCCTTATAGTACAAAATATAAATAGGTACGTTATATGACATAATAAACTAATTAACATATTAATTAATTACCCATTTGGTTATTTACATAAATATACCTATTATTTATTAATGATTATGAATTGTAAGATAGTGGATTATTCTTTGGCCACCCACATTAAATAGATGACAGTTGACAACGTCACATTGAGTGCTTAGTTCAGCTGTGATTGGAAAAAATAAAGAAAACTAAAATCGTATTCAACAGCGCTATCTAGTTGCATGTGTAAATGAAAAAAATTAAACATGAATAATTATTCAGATTAATAATCATATTATTCATATTATATTTTTAGTTCGTGACACGATAAAGGGAAAAATTTTCTTTGTATCGTAGTTCGAGATATAATTAATAGATATACATTTGATTTATGTATCTACCAACTTTATAGTTACTTTGATCGGTCGACGGTCGTTATCGACGTACTCGTATTATAATGGTAGGTACCCAGTTTCCTACGTTTAGTTTAACGTATGGATACTCGGACGAGGTCTGAACACTCGTAGAACATCCTTTTATGATATAAAAAAGATATTTAAGTTTTAAACATTCAAAGTAATTTAGATAATATTCTAATCTTTGATGGTTGAAACACTAACGGCCAAATATCTAAAAATATGAAATATCGACAAACCAAAGTTTGTTACATATTACCAAAGTAAATGTATTGAAACAAATTTTTGCAGTAAAAAAAATAATTAAAATTAAAAAATAAAAACAAATTATTTTTTCCTTTTAACACCATGATACAATCAAAATTATTTTTTTTTTAATTTAAATGTTCTTTATTACTTATTACTTATTAGTTATTTATGAATTACTATATTTTGTTTTATTAGGGTTTTAAATTTATGTATTTTTTGCTATCAAAAACAAAATTCTTAGTTTAAAACTTTTTTTTAAACAATACTTTTAATAATATTTGTTTTTATTAAAAGAATAATAATTATCTATAATTTGATTTATAGAAATTACAACAACGGTCGATATTTTAAGCTGTTAATATTTCAACTGTCAACATTTTAACCTGTCGAAATTTTAATTGTAGATGTTTTGTATCATATCTCTTACCTTTAAATTTCATAGTAGACTGTTTCAATAAAATTTTTGAAATTTTATTTTTCCAGCTTTTACAGTTCATGAATAATCTTTGCTGTTATTACCAGTTCTCTCAAACTAATTTTTTTTTTCTGCTGTTTTCTATTATAGTTCCGATTTAACTTTAATTAAAAAAAAATAATATCACTTAATTTTATAATTATATATGCTTGTACACTATATAAAAATAAATAAATGTATTATCTGATAAATTAATAATTATGTAATATATTACACACTTATTATAAAAATATTATACTATAATATTTACTAAAGAATTAGAATTTAGATTTTTTCCTTGCTTTCTGTTTTGCAAATCGTTAGTAAAATTTAATTGAAATCGATTAACTGTAAAATAGAATTTTCTTATTAGAATATCATTAATGATGTAAAAATTTTTTGAGTTTGGCTTGTTCCATATTTATTTCTTATTTTTATTAGTTGTAAATTGCTTTTTAAATAATTAGCAATTAGGTTACTGGATAGTTAAATTTAATCTAAGAGTAATTAAAGTATTTAGGATTACATTCTATGATTTATAACACCATTATTATTTGTTAAAATTAAAATGTAAAAACTCTATAGTAATTTTAATTTTGAAATATTTGTACTTAATTTTTAAAGCAGGAAATAGAAGTTTTTCCTGATAACTATGGTTATGAATTTAATAAACTTTGAAAATTTATAAATGCGTTAAAATAATATATAAATCATAATTGCAAGACATTTTAGATAAAAAATTGCATTGTATCTATAAAATAATAATATGCATAATGTCCAAAAGTATGAATCAATATTTTTAGACAAAAATGAAATATTTAAAATCGGTTTGAGGAAGAATCGTAAATTTTCTTTTAAGTATTGGATTTAGTCAACACTTTAATACAAAACACATAATTTAATAAAATGTATGCATTTAATTTTCGATAAATTTAAACGTTTATAGAAACAAATTATGAAAAGATTGTTATTGCTATAGCTGTTATAGTGTTATCTATATATATTCAAATATTATCCCTGAAGAATTTTATTTTTATTAAATGTTTGATACGGTTTGGATGATAAGGCCACGTTTTAAATATAGTAGGTACCTAAATATGTCAATGATGATAACGCGAAGTGATAACAGGCGTGTCAATAGTAAAATTAATATTAACTTTTTATTTAGGTTTTTCCATATGTCCTTTTCCTATTTATTTGTACCTATATAGTTTCAAAACAAATCGTGATTCAAGAAGACTTACTGTGTATTGAGGTAAGAATTGTTATAAAATTAATACCTATTTGAACATCAATGTGAATGTATTAATTACCTATTTATTTTTCACTTAAAAAATTTACAATAACTCATAACTATATATAGTATAATATACTTTATTTACTGGGGGTAAATAGATTAGTAGGCATGTATTATCTAAAATAAAAAAAGAGTGCATACAATATTATGTATTATTTCAAAATATATGATTACTTATAAGCGCCTAACTATTTTTTATTTTAACATTTCACAGTCAGTAAACATTTTTCTAATGTTTTTTTACTGTATGGAACTGCTTATATTTTATAGTAGCTTAAATATTTATTAATAAAAGCTCATTGTATAAAATAAGATTTTATTAATATTTATAATTTATAAAAATTAAATAATAAAGGGTTTATCTTCCAGTACTGGAACTGTATACTATTGTATTTTTATAAGCTCAACAGAAGTGCATAACTTATATTTTTAACAATTAAGTTTGTTATATTCTTAATTACTTAATGTACTGTTATAAATTAATTATTTTTGTTATTTTATAGATAAGTAAATTTGAAAATAATATGGCTACTAGAAGTCTTACCGACATATTTTTGTTAATGCGAACAAATTCCATCCAGAGTAGGGGAATTTATTCATTTCAAGGATCTAAACATAATGATTATGATACAGACAGTGATGAAAGTATTAATGATAAAGCAGCGTTGATGGAAGCTGGTCGTTCTATGGTTAAAACAAATTCTATCGAAATGCGTTCTCAGGAAAAAGCTCCACCAACGTGGACAGGATTACTTGAAGATGCTCAATATTCAATTACCAGGTTTTAACCTAATAACTATTTTACTTTAAAAACATGTTTAAAATCATTTATTTTTAGGTTACAGAACAAATTAAAAGAATTACAATCATTACAAGATGCACAAGTATTGAGACCTACCTTAGATGATTCTAGCTTACAAGAGAAACATATCCAAGATCTCACATTAGATATTACAAGAGTATGAATTATTAAGTTTATTACTAAAATAAAGCTAATTAGTTATTAATACTAAATAAAACTTATAACATTACAGATATTTGGTTCAACTAAAAAAATAATTCAACAAATCCGATTACATTCAAATGGTTTATCGGGCAACAAAGAATCCCAACTTTCATACAATGTTTCATCTGCTCTAGTGTCATCATTGCAAAATTTGTTCAATGAATTTCGAAACTCACAACAAATTTATCTTAACAGTAACTTTAAATAAGTTAAACTATTTATATGTTATTATTATGTAAACTTATGTTTTTAGAAATTAAACATAGAGAAGCTATGTCATCACACATGTGTTTTGATACCGAAGAGAACACTTCAAATTCTGATTTACTAGATATGTTTGGTAATAGTTCATCTAATTCTTTTGGACAACAGTTACAGATGCAACAATCAAATCAATCACAAACATTTGCTGCTATACTTATTGAAGAAGAAAACGCTAAAATGGCAGCTCAGTGGGAACATGAGGCAAATCAGATATCTAGTTCTGTTCTTGAACTTAATAATATATTTAAGGACCTTGCACATATGGTTGTTCAACAAGTTAGTTTAAGTTTCATAATTCTTATTTATTTAGTTTCTTTTAATAGTATATGATTCTAATTGCATGTCTGGATTCTATAGGGTAGTGTTTTAGATCGGATAGACTACAATATCGAACAAACTGAAATCAGAGTTAAAAAAGGTGCAGCTGAGTTAATAAAAACTGAAAAATATCATCGAAGTAATAGAAAAATGAAATGTATTTTGATTCTAGCTCCTATTTCAATTATGTTATTAATTCTTTTGGATATAACAAAATTTTAAGGTATTTATCTTATTGTTCTTTACTTCTTATTTACCAAAAGTACTATTTATTATTAATCGTTATTTAATATAAATTTATATGATGTTATTATGTTTATCATTAACACAATTGAAACAAAATGTTAAATATATTATTCTAGCTTAAATATATTCTGCTTTTAATATTTTATTATTGTCAGTTTGTGCCAAATTTTATAAGTCAACCATTTGTTCTAAATTTGTTTTTGTTTACTTGTGCTGGATTTATGTATAATTATTTTATATAATTGTTCATAAATGAATTATGATATTGCGATTTATCTTATAGACTATATAATAGATTTATGTTTTCCCTATAAAATGTATTAAAACTGATTCTTGTAAGAATTGTTAAAAAAAATTGTGACTATGTTTTTTTCTATATTTTTTTAACTGGGGTATGACTTATTTAAGTATAAAAAACCTTGTATTACTATTTCAAGATTTTTAATTTATAAAATTGTATCATACATATGTATAACCAAAATAAAAGTAAAAAATTAATACAAATATCATACAAATAACCAAACTGTTGATAAATTATATTATTAAGTCTAAAAAATTGTAATTTAAGTACTCGGTGAAAAATTTAAGTCTATGCTGTTATTTATTTTTAAATATGATGAAAAAATTATTAAAAAAAATTATTTTTCTTCATTGTTTTGATAAGTACTAAGAATTTTTTACTTTTAAACAATTTGCTATCAGGAATTACTTTCAAAATAAATTGAAGCTTTATTATTTTAAAAAAAATGATAATATACAAAAAAAAAAAAAACACATACATTATTGTAAAATTAATACATTGATAGCATCACTAAGAATCTTAAAAATACATAAACTATATTATTTTATTTAGATGTTGTTATAAAGAGGGGGGGATGTTGATTAATAAATCATGTCAACAGAAAAATACTTATAATATATAACCTCCACTATACATGTTAACGTATTATTATATTTAAAGGAGATTTACTGATTATTCATCAAAAGATCCTAAATAAATATTTAAATTTTTCCACCTTTAAAATTTAATAGGAAAAAGTAAACGTCATAGTAAGACCAATGCATATGAATATAAATATTTAATGATTATGTTTTTATAAGTTTGTTTCTTTTTAAAAACTGTATTATAGTTAATACCAAATTTGTCGAAAACTAATGTTAATGTGTAAATATGATTGCTGTTATTGCTAATGAACTTCTTTAATTATTAGAAAAACTAAAAAGTATTAAAAATTAAAAATGTTTGAATTTTATTTTATTTTTATATAATATAAGTAAAAAAAAAACTGAACATGCATTACATAAGACATATTTAGCATGTGTATATTATACCATATTTGTTGAATTCATATAATATAGTCCGTCTATAGTACTATAGTACACTTAAAACTTTAGTTGATAATATATATTATTGTTGGAACAGTTAATAGTGTAGGTATCTATAAATCTTACAAGTATATTAGTAACATTTTCAAAAATTATTCAAATTATTAATAAAAAAAAATTAAAATATAATATTATTATAACATTATTTTTTTAAACTCGCATAAAATATTACTAGTAAGTACGTATAAAGAATAAAAAAACACCTTTAGGTATAATTTTACTCTAGCACAATCATATTTATATAATATTCTAGTTATTTATAAATATTAAAATACAACAGAATGACGACATCACCTATATTATATGATATTTATTTATTTTACTTATTGCGTAGGTACATGAATCATGAATGGATAATCGATGATGTTTCTTCTCGTGCTCCAATCCTCGAGTCCTTGATATTACCTACCCGATGAATGACATTATCGTGACCACCGTGGGTAAACTTTAATTATGTGATTAATCCATACTGATATAAGTGAATGTAACTTGAAAACGGGGCCAAAGTAACCTCTTTCTAGCGACTATGCAATTGTTTATACATATTGCTATATCGTTACATATTCCCAAACGTTCAACACCGTGGATCTGCTGCGGATGCAGAGGTCGATCAAACGATTGATGCCAGTTCAGTGGCGGCTGTATAGCTAGGCTCAAAATTGGTAAAAAAAATAAGAAAAAGAGAAAAAAACACACAGTGAGTAGATAATTGAGCTGGCGAGCTATTATGATTGGGGACACCTAAACGTTGTTGACGGGGTGGTAGCATCCCTGACGTCTGTGACGCTGCAGGAAGAATCTCCGGACGTGTACCCCTAAGATTTCCAGTGATGGTAGAAATCTCGGGTGGAGATGAAGCCGATCTATGGAGACATGCTGATACAGTATATAGGATCAGCAATAGAGCGTAACCGAACGACTGTGGTAACGCCTTTGGAATCGGTTCAAAAATCGGTTATAATCACGGACATTGAAGAGACAACATCTAAATCCGTACAGACTGGCCGGATTATGCATCTGTCCGTAGAGTAGACGCTGGTTTCCAACATGACTTCTAAAATCTCCTATCAGACAAGCGAAGATAAACGCCGCCACCCGCAAAGGAGTCGACGTTTTCTTCCTTGGATCCAGAAGGTAAACTCCTAAAAAAAGTAAGATTGTATGAGGGTTCTGGTCTGGTTTAAAAAAATTGGTATGCATCAATTCCGTTCATGAATCATGAACCCTGATCAAAAGAAGATTAACTACAAAATATTAGTTTAGTTTTATAGTTTAATCCAAGGAAACTCAACCTTTTGATGTCTATACTTCCTTTTATGCTATATTGTATGAGACCACCATGCCCTCACCTCCTTTAAGGTTGAATTATAATTAATATATGATATATATATATATATACATTATAATTTAATCAATCCAATATAAGGGTATTGGTTCAGAATAAATAAAACTTTTTAATCTTCAATATATTTTAATCAATATAGATATCTAAAAGATATTATTAAAATTATTAAAACTTTTTATGTCTTATGATTTTTAAAATTTTCATGCTTTTCCTGAATCGTTTTCTTATCCTCCTAAGGAGTAACATCCCCAGATCGATAATCAACCCGGGTTTATTCGATCACAAGTTTATTTATAATAATGATTTCGGCGCGTAGTATCGACGGTCGACCGATCGCTTTTGACTGACGAGTTTCCGTTGCGTGCCGGAATAAAATAACGTATCCAACGAGTCGAATGCCGGTGCAGCGGTTCACCGATTTTTCGCTCCGGAAACCCGCCTACTACTATTATTCCTACGGCTACACATTCACAAGTCGTGGTTATCGCGGTGTATCAACGTTTACCATCCACCGTCGCACAGACAACCCGCCTCTGCCGTCTGTTGTAGTTGTATGAGTGTGACACCAGACGGTCTCGGTTGTCTTGTGCCGGAAATTCACGTTCACCCTCGACCCGTCGCGCAAACTATTTCATTTCATACCAGGCCCCGTAAGCATAGGGATACTATCTGGTTTTTATTTCATTCCATTATTGTTCGTCTTAATTTTTAAATTTCATTTTCATTTTTGTTGTCGAAACTATGTTTTATTATTTCATATAGTATACTACCCTACTTATTAACCTATATTTGTATTCACTGAAAATATTTTTCATTCAATCATTTATTTTGTATCATGCATGTAGGTACATTTGTTTGAGCAGGGTCGTAATTTAATTAAGAGAGAATTGCAATGAAATATTCTAAAAACCAACCACAAAAAAATGTATGATTCATATTGTTTTGTCGCATTATTTTTTATTACACCCGTTTTAGTTATATTTTTTGAATTACTTAAATATTTTATCACTAGAAAGTAGGTCGAAGATATTATTTATTTATATAATCTCATAATTTTTTTATATGCTTTAATTAATATTTTTAAATTGTTCGTGTTAAAAAGGTACCTACGTTTGACTTACAATATTTTTCACACCGTTTTATATCTAATAGACTTTAAACACTTAATGCTATTTTTACAATAAATATAACGTTGAAAATTGCAATAGTCATCAGTTTATAATTTATAGCAATAGTCTTTCTAAATAGAAATTGCATGTACGACAAAACAACTATCAAAAGTGTGAATGACCATGTTTTTTACACGAAAATTGTGGACTTCTAAACTTTAAACACTCAAAGATCATGGCATTATAAATATTTCGATGAACTTTAAATCTCCTCTGGGAATCAGAAAACTGTTTCAATATAACAACATAGAAACATAACATATTATGTTATTAAGTTTATAACAGTAAGATATAAACTATCGTTACCTACAATCAAGTTCACGAGTTCGAAAAACATTAAAAAACAGATAATTCATCTAAATGTTTTCACGACTTATATGCGTTAAGTATATTACTTTTTTACACTATTTACGTAGGTCGTAGGTAGGTATTTGTATTATTTCTTCAAACCTACAACGATCCGGTCCATTACTAATGGAATAGTAATGATTCATTATTAAATATTTAATCATCATCAAGTCAGCCTTCGTTTGTACTCCGTACAGTTAGCTACCAGTTACCAACAACGAATTCTAAAAAACCGTCATGAGAAATATAATTCAAATACCTAGTCAATACCCGGTAATGTACATTTTAAACAACAAAATCATTATCTATACTTACCTAATATTGCTTGGGACGAATCCAAAGCAATAATTTTGGGAAGGAGGGAGTATTCGTTTGAATGACACCACAAAAAAAATAAATATATTTTTTAATTTTTTTTTAAAATTATGAAATGATTACCATAATTTTAAATTTATCTTACTTTTAATTATACTTAAATTATTTAAAATGTTTAGAATCAAAGAAACAAATTATTATTTATAAAAATTCCTAATTGTGCATATTTGGTCGTTAAATACATAGATATGTCAGATGTATATTAGTATACTAGTGTTTTATTTTTCTTTGTGTGAACATTATATTAACTATAAATAGCATAAATAATTAACATAGATTTTACTGATTTTACTTATATTTTTTAAATTTCTTTAATTAGTAATTACCCGTATAATTAAATAACTATTTATTTTATTTTAAATTAAATAATTCTTTAGAAAATTTAGAAACATATAATATGTGCTTGTGGTGTAACTCTAAGATTTAGCTCCTAAATATTGCAGTTTATTGCTCTTTAATAATTTCTTATTATATGAAATCCAGAATGATATGTTAACTCGTATGGAATACTAAATACTATTATATTCACAATACGCATTTGTGGTCGTGAATCATAATGACACACGTGTTTACTTTCTCCTAAATGATTTTGAAAACGAATGTTTGTGTTTTCAATATTTGTGAATTAAGTTTTTGTTTAAAATATGTATCTATAATCGTTGAAAATGTAATAACTATGTAAAGAATAAATGCGGATTATGACTTACCTATTCAATTTTAACGGGTATCAACGATTTCTTCATCGTCAGTTTTCAATATGAATAAGTAGTTTTCAGAACGAAACATTCTGCTCTAAGCTATCCAAACATGATATTATAATTATATTGGTTGGTATATTATTATTACGTAGGCATATTTTCGAAATATTATATTATCCACGAAATTTACTGAAATATAAGAATAAGTATAACCTATAATATGTACCTACCTATCTAGCTTTATATACCTAAATATTAAAAATTAGCGGTAAGGCTACACGTACCTATACTTCAACAAATAAAATTTAAATTTATGTACATTAGTATATTTTATTTTTATACTTTTTTTTTTAAAAAGATGTATTTTACTAATTATAATTAAATCAATGTGATATTTTTGGTACTCAAATCGAATAAACGAATATTTAAAAATACTAAATAATTTTTAATTTGTGTTTACATATGAGAAGTAGGTATTACTGTTCTATTCATTTGGCACTGATTCAATAAGAAACCTAATTATGGGCTGTATAAAACACAAACGTTTGATTTATACTTTCTGGTTACCTATAAAATATTGAATTATCAACCATAACAATCATAAAAAAACAACCTATCATACCAACCTTACCCCTACCTTAGTTTATAACCCCTACAACAGCTAATGGCCCTAGTCGCCGAAGCTTAAGTTCAATAAAAAAAAAAATTGAATTTCATTTGCTTGAAATGACTATTAATCGATAACTAATTTTAAAATTTATTATTGCATAAATGCCATAAATGAACATAGTAAACATAATACAAATTATCTTACGTTTTATAAATTCAGATAATGAATTTCTACAGTGTGCACATAGTAAGTACATTATTAAGTATGTTATAAGACAAACAAAAACGCGCCATACCTACTTACGCTTAGGTACGCATGTGATGGCTTGTAAGAGAAATAAAGAATTCATTTTTGGGTTAAAACAAATTATAGGTATTTAAAAATCTCCATTTAAAAAAAAAATATTAATATTTATCCAGTTATCGTTATACAACTATTCAAATTGGTGTGATAGTAAACTTAATTTTGATGACCTGAAACTCTTCTAAGTTTACCTCAGTACTACTGAAAGGTATATTATGTACTCTGCTGGGCCAACTTCAGTATTTTAGAAGCTTTCAACATAACATTTTGGACTCTTGTACCTACTAAATATTTTTACGGGCTCTATACAAAACTTCCAATAATAATTTATCATAGAAAAATTATAACTTTGGAAATTATATATTTTCTTAAGGTATAGACATAATATTGATTAATGAGAGTTCATCATCAGGCATCAGGAGAGTTGAGTTGACTATAGTTTTAGAAATCAGGAAAGATTATTATCGCCCTGAATTTTGTTTCACATATAAACTAATGGCAGTAAGTTTTCACAAAAATGGAGGGTAAAATCTTCTTTTAATTTAAAATAAATAACAAATTGTTGCGAAAAAATTTAATCCATCTGCCCATTTTTTTATTTTATTTTATTAGGTAATTGCAAAATAAATCCAATGTAAAATATATCAATAAAAACTGTACAAATTATAAAAACTGAATGACTATGTATTTCAAGTTAATAATTCGTAAAAAATATGTATTGTAACTTGTAAGTGTATACAATATACTATATTAGGTATTTTTTTTTAGAAAAATAAAATTTTTGACTTAAGTAAATATTTTTTTAAATTTTATATAGTTAATGACAAATATGTTTATTTTATCTTTACAGCTTATTGCTTATATTCCTATATATAGACAGAATATAGACTGACTAGGAACAAGTTAAACCTTACCTAGGTATTAAAGACACTTCCGAATCTTTGTAGAACGATAAGGATACTGATGTCGATTGAATATACAACAATTGTTCAATTATATTACTGAAAAAAAATAATTTTGCTGAGAAAACACGGGAAAAATGTATGAATTTCTAACAAATATTCGATACTGATGGCGGAATAGAAAATCTTGCACTATCGATTACAACCATATAGGTAAATGTAAATGATATGCTATTAAATTTATACATTGTAATTTATATCATTGTAATATTATAAACAAAACAATACATAAAAGTGTCTTGTATTTTGTATGACGTATGAATAAATACTAGTTAAACGAAGATTTAGTATAAATGGATTATTATGCAGAAGAAGCTATCAAGTCATGTTTTTATTCCATGTATACGTAATCATCAGATTTTCTAATAAAATTATATTAGGAATAGATCAAGTTCTGTCCAAATTGGACACCAGAGAAATATATCACGTTAAAGTTCCCATATAATATTATTTTTATATAAACATCTATCGTTCAAATTATATGATGTGAATCGATTAATATAAACTAGAACAAAATTTACGCCATCACTCCCTTTTGGCCTTTTCATAAGGATTTGCTCGATATCTC